CGATCGATTCCTGTGGCTTTGAGAATTACAAAAGCGAACACATTTTTAGAACTTATTATAATACATCAATATATCCATCAATCTCCATCGTTCAACAGTGACTCTGCCTGTGCCAAATATAATACAGAATATTTCCCTTCTTCCATTCCAATGCCTTCGCGTTCTTCATCGCTTTCGATATATTCCACTTAATAATGACACAGTGAGCACTCACTCCTAGATTGTGTAATTTTTTTTCCTTGATTTCGCGTTGAATTTATCAATGCCGAAACCACGATTTAAAACTAAAGGTTTACAATTTGTTTAAACATTTAAATCCAAATATTACATCGAACAGCTTAGGTAACTGCCTGATAAATATGTAATTTCCTGCGTCATTTGCGAGATTGACGAAAGCATTATTCTTTTCGTTTACCATGGAATGAAAAGCTTCTGATACGCGCAGTATTAAAACTTTCAAATTTAAAAATATTACAGACTTGTTGATATAAAATACTCCTTGCGTGTGAAGGTCATTGAAGGTCGATCTTCCAATTATCGTGCAGATGGCTGTGATTGGTTGATTGCCGGGAAGTCAAATGTATAGCGAATATGAGCAGACGTTAGGTGAGGCCTCGGCCACTAACAACGTCTGTGCAGGCCGGAGCCTACAAATACCTGTGAAATAGGAAACAAGTCCAGGATGGAATACCAGTGGCGGAAATTCACTTTTTCCGGTGGAGGGGGGAGGGGGCAAATCCTCCTAAATTTCCGACAAATCTTTCAAATTTCCGACATACCCCCCCCCCCATTTGCACTCGAAAAGATTGTTTTTAGCCCTCTTTTAGGTCAACATTTCCGAACATTCATCAATTTTCTCCCAAGATTTCCGCCACTGTGGAATACATTAATACCATAGCAGAAACTGAACCCTGTGCGCCGCAGAGTACCACGATTGCTGAATGGATAGACCGTTTGCCCCTCGTTGAAACAGTGCACTCAAAGTTTAGTACTGAAAGCCGTCCTTTTATTCGGAAACGCTACCGCAGGAAGAGTCGAGACAGTTTGGTAAAACAGAATCACTGGGAATACATCAAGAATCGTCGAACAAGATTGGCTCAATCACTTGAACCTTGTACGCCATATTATGACTTAAGAACTGCAAGTCATGGATATTACGAGTCTATGACATTGAACACCAACATAATACCACTCGCATCAATTTTTTATAACCTTGTTTCTGATCATTAAATATTCAAAACTGTCAAATGCTCGACTCTGAATCCCATTCTCGCTGGATTTGCATTAAACACCGTCCAACTACTAGTACGTTAATCACGATTCCAACCACCCGTCTATCCTATGACTTCCCAACATTCTTCCTAAGCAACACCCGTTCAACGGCTAATAAACTGGATGAGATCAGTGTAACTATTACTAATAATAAATATGATATTGCAATCATCACAGGATCATGGCTTTCGTCAAACATTACGAATGATCTCATTAACATCCCCGCATTTTTAATTATTCGCAAAGACCGATGCGACGACCAACGTGTTGGAGGACTATGCACTTATATCAGAAATACATTAGACTTCCTGGAATTAAAAGATTTATCTCACCCCGACATTGAATCACAGTGGTTTTTGATAAAACCCAAAAGACTTCCAAGAGGAATTGATGCAATTGTAATAGCCTCTGTATACCACCCTCCACAAAATAACAACCGTACACTAAGGAACCATCTATTTGAATCCCTGGACAACGCTCTCGCCAATTTTCTAAACGCAGGCATCGTCTTGTTAGGGGGACTTTAACCAGTTTAAACCTGGATGCCTAACTTCATCCTTTAATCTTAAACAAGTTGTGAAAAGACCCACTCGTGGTAACAATATCCTTGATAAGATTTACACTACCCTTTCGAAGCATTACGTTGATGCCATTATCCTCCCATGCATTGGACAATATGATCACCAAAGTGTTCTTCTCAACCTCACTCAAGTCTCACACCCCTTCCTACGTTACTAAGAGAGACTGTCGACCCGCAAACAAACAAACAAACAAACAAACAAGCCCTAATCACCACCCTATCCCAAATCAATTGGACCCCACCTTATTGCGTAATTGCTCTAGAATATCAATTCAACCTATTCTCGAACAAAATATCCTCTATTATCGATAGTCACCACCCTCCACACACCATACAGTGTTATCCTAAAGATTAACCAACATGGATCACTGCAGATATATAAAAAAGTCATTTCTAAAGGCAGAAAGCTTGGTCAACCAGTAACACTATCATGTAATACGTTTATCGTAACAAAGTTAGAAGACGATGCAAATCTGCCCGTCAGTCCTACTACGATAAGAAAATTCCTAACACCAGAGAATCTAACCTGAAAAAATGGTACCATAACATCAAGTCTATTTCTGGTTTAGACAAATCGGAACCTTTTTCGAGCATCTTCCATGATGGTGAGTTTAAGAGGTCCTGAGCTTGCTGAACTAATTGTCGAATCTTTCTGTGCTGTTTGAAACGGATCGGCCCCACTCTGCTTCAACAAGCTTTACATTACATCTGTTCCTGATGAGTACATAATATCAACCCTAGAAGTCGAAATCGAATTGGAAAAGATCAGTCGTCAGAAAGCAATTGGCCCCCGACGACATTCCTAACTGTGTACTGAAGTCAGCTGCACCGCTGCTTTCCGTTCCAATATGTTCCATCTTCAATGCCAGCATTACACAAGGTCGCATCCCGATACTCTGGAAATCAGCAGACGTTATCCCAGTGCCAAAAATATCTAATCCTAAATCAGTTGATAGCGACCTAAGACCTATTTCTCTCACACCGGTGCTGAGTAAATTATTGGAAAGCTTCGTTTTTCGGCGGCATTTTAGTTATATCAAACCATCAATTGACTCGCTCCAGTTTGGAAACATGAAAAATGCTTCGCCACACAGGGGGAAACTTGAGAGGTGTGGGTTATGGGTGGGGGGGGGGTGACCCCCCAAATACAAATCATCTGGATTGGCAGGGCAAATCATCTGGATTGGCAGGGCAATCGCAGTAACTTACAGGGCTTCAACAGGGAATTGAATAGAATTGGTAGACCTAAATTTTACAGATATTGGTCCAAAAATAAGGGTTTTACCCATGTTTTAACAGGAATTCGTGAGGGAAAATTTCTTTGACCCTTAATATTTGGAAATTCCGAAAAAAAATTTTTCAACAACCATCTCCCTCCCCCGCTCGCCAACATTTTTGGGAAAAATAGTAACAAAAAAAAATTTCCTGCAGGGCTTCGTCGGATTTCTCAGGGCAATTCTAGCAGACACCCCACTAATTAAAAGGGGCTAGTTTCGCCCCTGCCACCACACATGCTCTTATCCACATGATCCATAACTGGCTAGCCGAATTAGAAAACCTTGGTACAACTATCAGATGTTTTATGATTGACTTTTCGAAAGCCTTTGACCGCATCGATCACAATATTTTACTTCATAAATTACAACAACTTAGCATCCTTCCTATCTTGTTGAACTGGTGCGCTGAGTTCCTGCATGACCGATATTTACGTGTCAAACTTGGCCAGAATAAATCAACATGGCGAAAAATAAATGCAGGGGTTCCACAAGGTACAAAACCTGAACCCCTCTTTCTTCTTTGTGATGATAAATGACCTGCAAATCAACACTCCATTGTACAAATATGTCGATGACTATTCCACTTACGAAATTGTTTAAACATCGTCCCCCAATTCACCTATGGTATTCGATGCCATCTCTTCATCTGGTTTCAAAATAGAAATTGTCCAGACCTTCAAACTTCTGGGAGTGAAATTATCATCCGACCTTACCTGAAATGCGCACGTTGATTACATCTGCACCAAAGCAAATAAACGTCTTTATGTTCTAAGGATCCTCAAACGATCTGATGCCCCAGCCAATGATTTAATAACGGTCTTTTGTGCATTTATTCGTCCAGTTTTGGGATACGCCTCAACTGTATGGCATTTTTCTCTCCCCTCAATTCCTCGCTGACCAAATCGAGAGTATACAAAAACGTGCATTCAAAATCGCTTTCCCCCAGTCCTCTTATGCTACCTCACTAAGAAATGTTGGCCTTCTAACACTTTACCAGCGAAAAGAGAATCAGGGCCTGTCATTTTATAAGAACATCCATCAACACTCGGACGACAAGTTGAGAACGCTACTTCCCAGTGCTATATCTCACAAATTCAGTCTAAGGAACAAATGCACTTATTCTATGTACAAGTGCAAAACTGAACGATATAAGAACTGCAGTTTTACCCAAAGTGTGTTAGTAACTAGGACCGACCATAGGCATAACATAATATTTTATACAGTAGTACATATTACGGTTGCCACTGAGTAACTTAAAAAAATACAAACCAATGGACACTCCGAAAAGGCCGGTTAACATTTTGATTCGACGTTTCGACTAGCTTGCAGTCATCATCAGATGATCAAAATGTTAACCGTTTTCGGAGTGTCCATTGTTTTTTATTTTTTAAAATAGTACATATTATCAATATAGTTTATATTGTATTAGTTTAACAATCTTATATTGGAGTAGTTTCAAAATGTTAACCGTTTTCGGAGTCTCCATTGTTTTGTATTTTTTAAAATAGTACATATTATCAATATAGTTTATATTGTAGTAGTTTTAAACTGAACTTTTCGAAAATTTTAAAGATTTTAATATTATCTTTGTAATATCACGTTTTTAAATTTTTTATGAATTTACAATGTGGTAATTATTATCAATCAATCAATCAATCAATCAATCAATCAATCAATCAATCAATCAATCAATCAGTCAATCAATCAATCAATCAATCAATCAATCTCAAAGGTCGCAGGTTCGATTCCTACCGTGGTCAGGCAAACTTTTTTAGCTTGTCCGGTGTGGATGGTCGAGGTATCTGTTTGTGGCTTAGATACTGTAGATTTATGAAGCCAACCATATACGACTAAGTTTTCCTTGAAGAATTTATATTACTTGTTCAGGTGTACAACGAGTAAGTTAGCTACCTGTATTTTAGCCAAATTACACAAGAAATTATGCGCTGAATGTGCGTTGGGAGACATTTTGATAAACAATGCAAACTTCGGTAAACATGCAGCGTGATGCTCACGCTTTCGTTGCTTTGTTATACTTTTATACACTATTAATAATTTTAAAATTTTCACATTATAGTTTTTAAAATGTTTCTTACTTGTTAGGACATTTCAATCACTGGACAATGTGATTTGACGCGATCATATTCGTACAACCTCAATAATTGTTCAGCAGCGAATTCAATTAAGAAATATAGAAATGGATTACCAATTACATTTACTTTACCAATTGTAGTAAGAACTCCAAGCATGCCAACAAAGCCAAATAAAAGGGGAACGGGGAGTCAGAGAATGGGAGCGGCGAGTGGGAAAAGAATGACTGGGGAATCGACGGCTAATGAGTGCGGAATAAGGGGAGAATGTTCAGGGCCTGACCGGGGAATATTTTGGAAATGACAGGGGAACACGAGGATAAAGAGAGGGGGGAATGGCGTAGGAATCGACACGGAATGATCGGGGAATCAATTGGGAATGAGCGAGGAATTGATGGGAAACGAGTAGGGAATCGATGGGGAATAAGAATGGGATTGACAGGGAATAAATGGGGAATGAGCAGGGAATCGATGGGAAAACGCATTGGAAATCGACAGGAAATGAGTGGGGGAATCAATGGAGGAATAACTGGGGAATGCCCAGAAAATAAGCGGGAAATCGTCGAAGGAGAATGATGGGAAACAACGAAGAAATCGTCAGGAATAACTGGGTATTACAATTTTGCCTACAATGCTCAATTTGAATGGTTAATTATAAGTAAGCCAATCTCGATGTAGCGAGGAAAAACATTCATAATGCTGCGGGCTACGTTAATATTTTTAGGATTTTTGCAAGAACACGGTGCATATTCAAAGTCAGTTAACAGAGCAATATATGGTTTGGAAACTCACTAAACTTCAACAGTCCAGCTGAAAAAAAAACAAGGTATTACCTTGGAGATTTGGTGGCGCTGTCGTCAGAGCAAGCGCCTTCACCCTCGAATTCGTGGGTTCGATTCTCGCTATATATATAGACTCATGTATGAAAAGAGTCAGTGAACGCTCTGCCGAAAGTCGTGGAAAAACAATGACTGGGGAAAAGACGGGTCATGAGAGTGGAATGATTCAATGTATGTAATTCTACTGGGATTGAGTAAAAATGCTTAAGTTCAATATATCGACTTTAACTACATTTAGCAATTTAAAGTTTATTTACGTATTTCTCAAACAAACTCGCCTTTCCTTTTCCCAATCCAAAATTAAGATAAAACTATGCTTCCGATGACTTCTTACCATCTACTCGAATAATATTATTCCGTTTATTCGTATATGAATGACAATCAACAATATATTTTGAAATATCAAATCTTCATAACAAGCCCTCTCAATTTCTTAGACAAACATACTCATAAAAGAATAAGATTGCATGAAAAACATTTTTATGACAAGGTTGTTTTATTTTATTGATTTATTTATTTAATTTAATTTTGCCCAATAGTATTTGATATTTATTTACATGAAAATACTGATATTAAGGAAAAAAAGGGCGACGAGTGTATTTGAAACCATTTCGCTTTTCCTTATACCCCTAGAAATATATTTACAATTTACTTTCTAATTAATTAATTAATTAAGTAAACCAGTTCAAAGTATTAGAGTAGTGAATATATATATATATATATACATATACGAATTGTTCATAATTTTTTTAATGTTTTTTCTTGTAATATTAATAATAATACAAGCAGCAATAGTAATGTTAATGAAACAAGCATTTTCTGTTGCCCCTAAATTGCATACGTCACGCTAAACTATGGCATCAAATAACAATTCAAGAAAAACTACCAGAATATCTAAAGTATTTGTTGAAACAAATTCAACAACTGTCTTAGATGATCCACACAAAATTGCTAACAAATTTAATGAATACTTTACAAATGTTGGACCTAATCTAGCCAAAAAATAAATACAAAGAAAACTTCACAAGTCTTAGAAAAGAACAAATTACACGAAACATTTCCTAGCAAACAAAGGAATCGAAATTTGGAACGGTCTTGCAAAATACTTCAAACAAATAAAATCACATTTCGTCTTCAAACGAGAGGTAAAGAAACACTTTCTTCATATTTAATTAACCACCGGAAGTTTTTAAATTTTATCAAATTGCCAACTAAAGGGCACAACAAATCATTACATGCTTATTTCTATAATTAAGTGATTGCTGTGAATATCAAATTGCAATTGTATTATTATAATATACTGTATATATATATATATATATATATATATATATATATATATATATATATATATATATATATATATATATATATATATATATATATATATATACAGTTTATTATAATAATACAATTACAATTTGATATTCACAGCAATCACTTAATTATAGAAATAAGCATGTAATGATTTGTTGTGCCCTTTAGTTGGCAATTTGATAAAATTTAAAAGCTTCCGGTGGTTAATTAAATATGAAGAAAGTGTTTCCTTACCTCTCGTTTGAAGACGAAATGTGATTTTATTTGTTTGAAGTATTTTGCAAGACCGTTCCAAATTTCGATTCCTTTGTTTGCTAGGAAATGTTTCGTGTAATTTGTTCTTTTCTAAGACTTGTGAAGTTTTCTTTGTATTTATTTTTTGGCTAGATTAGGTCCAACATTTGTAAAGTATTCATTAAATTTGTTAGCAATTTTGTGTGGATCATCTAAGACAGTTGTTGAATTTGTTTCAACAAATACTTTAGATATTCTGGTAGTTTTTCTTGAATTGTTATTTCATGCCATAGTTTAGCGTGACGTATGCAATTTAGGTGCAACAGAAAATGCTTGTTTCATTAACATTACTATTGCTGCTTGTATTATTATTAATATTACAAGAAAAAACATTAAAAAAATTATGAACGATTCGTCTTCAGTCTTGTAATTTCAAATTTCGCGGCATTGCAACAACTAGAAAATCATCTGGTACAGAGAAGAGTTGCGGGGTCGACACTTTAGTAGTTGGCGTCTCTGCTCCTTCAGGCAATTCAAACTTGTAATGATGTAATAACATTGAAGAAAAAGAAAACATCATTATCTTCGCCAATGATTGACCAGGACATTCTCTACGACCAACGCTAAACGGGATAAATCCATGGAGTTTATTCCATCCGACGAACTTGCCATCCTCATCCAGAAATCTTTCAGGTTTAAATTTCTCTGGTTCTGGCCATTCTCGTTCATCCTCAAGCAGCTTTGTAAGATTCAGGCCGACAAATGTTCCTTTTGGAATGTGGTAACCAGCGATGGTTGTGTCACGAATCGCGTTTGATGCGGCGAGAGGTGCCACACCTGATATCCTACCGACTTCACATAACGTAGCTTGAAGATATGGGAAGCTTTTCGCATCTTTCCAGTTCGGTAGACGATCACGTCCCACGACTTCGTCCAATTCTTCGTGTATTTTGCTTTGCACACTGGGATATAAGACCATATATAGAAAAAACCAAGTTAGCCATGTCGAGCTGGTTGATGATCCCCCAACAACCACATGCAGCATCAAGCCTGGAATGCCAGTATCTTTCGAGCCAATATCTTTCCTTGTCTCTTTGGCAAGTTCTTTTTCATAAGCACTGATGAAACTATCTGTAAGATCTCGTATGGTGCCTGGAATATAACTCTCCTTGTGGGCTCGATATTCCGGGGGGAAAATTGTTTCTCTAATCTGTTCTGCTCGCTTTATTTCCCGAGTAAATCGCGTGGGTAAGTAACACAGGAACGGAAATAACTGATACACTGAACTAATTAACGCTTGTCGGTTGAAAATCGCGCTAAATTCGTTGTTTTCCTTCACAATTGGGTCGTCCAACGCTATCTTTTTCGTTGTAAGCCATTCCCAAAGTTGCACTACTATGGAGGACTCGAGGAGATTTTTAGGTGAAAAGGATTTCCCTGGTTCATTTTCGATTTCTTTGATTGCGATGTCAACAGCGTGACCAGCACGAACCGAGGCTTGCTCTATCCCAGCGCCAAAAATATGCATTGCTGATACAAACACTTTCTTCTCAAAAAGATATGCGTCTGAGTAATCACGTGCTGAGAATACGCCGCCCATCATCTCGTCAAGTGGATATATATACTCCGGTGATTTTCCCATAAGGTCTTCTTGTCTCCCGGGAGCAAGCCTTGCTTCACGTACTAAAGATGCTGTATTTAGGATAACAGCATTGCCGCTGGGAAAAGTAACAGTGAAAATATCTCCATGTTTCTCGGCTAGTTTATCAAATGGTCTAACAGGATCTGCTGAGATGATTTGAGGAAGGTTTCCAAGGAAGGGATAGGGAAATGGTCCGGGAGGCATGTTCTTTCTTCTCATATAGGTAGAGATGAAATACCAAATTAACCAAACGAGAAACAAAGTGAAAAAAACCTCGATAATCATCATACACCTGTAAGAAACAAATTTGCTTTCTTTAATAACGGGGCAATCTATCTGAAGTTGTACCATGGCGGAAGAATAGGAAGAATAGCGAATCAAATTTGCAATGTTTTGCATTTTGCACAGAACTGGCCAATTATGTGAAGGATATCTTCTGACAAAACAGGCCCGCATGAGTGGGTGGAATTTCGATAAATTTAAGCAAACGTGTTTAACCTCTTCTGACGTCATATTCATTACGCTAAAATTTGCGGTTAATTGACAGAAAAGAGACTTGTGGCCAGTAAATATAGAAATTGGACTTTTAAGCGGTTTTTTATTTGAGGTTATTGGCTTCGTTTATTTAGCAACTAATTTTTTTAAAATCCATTGCATATTAGGAAGGCCATAAAGGTATGTGAACATTCGAAAACTAAACAATTGTATACAAATACAACTTTGGCGTAACTTTACATATCGGAACTACAGTACCTCAGATTTTGACGGAAATGTCCAATAATTGATCGTACAGTTCCGTATTTTGAGGTGAACAAATGATCTCCCAATATAAAATATCGGTTTTAAGCAATAGCGTATTGGGTTTTGAGGCTTTTGGCCAAATTTTGAAAAATTTTAATTTTTGTGATTTTATTATGCTTCTATTTCCCTTCCATAAATCACCCGGTACTAAATTGAGGAAAGAGGCGCGGGGTTCCTCAGGGATCGAGCCTTGGTCCCTCTTGTTTTTGTTATACATTAATGACCTGCCGAATTGCTTGGATAAATCATGTCCGATAATGTATGGAAGATGATACAAATCTTACAGTATGTTCAGATGGCATTAACAATTTGGAAGAAGCACTAAATTCCGAAAAGAACAATATTCACTAGTGGCTTGTTTGAAACAGGCTAACTTTAAACATTCGAAAAACAGAATATTTTTGGTCATTGGAATCCATCAAAGATTAGAGAAAATTAAAAAAAATACCAGTGTATCATGCGAGGGGAACTATTGAAACAAGTCTATTCCAAAACGACGTTAGGTGTACTAATTGATGACAATTTGTGTTGGAATGACCAAATCGATAAATATTCAAAAAATTTAAGGAAAGGATGTTACTCTATAAATTTACATGATAAAGCTATAATAAAGTTGAGCCTATTGTGAATGAAATGTCTGAACTTGTGAAGGCGCTCGGTTAGTAAGAGTTAAGGGCCGCCTTAAAGAATGCGCGTATGAAATTTTGGGAGTCCATTGGAGCGTCGCAATTTTAAATAACAACTATACAAAAGTGGTAACGACGGTTGTATCGACGGTTGTAAATGTTAGTGTTCAACGAAACGGCAGAAACTGGTTGATATTGCTATGTAAAAAGTGTTAAGTTTGAGGATGTTGAATCAATGTTAGGCCTATTGGTGAATCCAAACAAATACTGCATGAATGTTAAGGTACGAAAGAGTTTTCCACCCTATTGGATCTTTCAACGATGGATTTCCAAGTAAATTCAGTGTATCAGAATAATTTTCTTCAGGCATGTACGATAATGGCAATAGCTCTTTCTCCAACCGTTTCAAATCATTTTGCATATATTGAGGCTGTGCATAATAATATACCAGGAATTCAGGGGTGGATTCAGACCGTTGCAACCGTTGCATATGCTACGGTCAGATTTCTCCCGAGATATATTTTTCCAGGGCCGGGTGTAAAAGTTATACTATTTTTTAATTGCTGATATTTTCAATTTTTCATTGAAACATGGGGCAATTTTTTTCAAATGTAGTATATTATGTTGATAAAATTTTATCGAGTTGTTATTTCATTTTTGCATAATTAAATTCGTTTTTTTCTCAAATTTCCGCCCGAAATACTACCTGTATTTGCGGGTTTTACATTAACACTATATCACATCGTTCTGCAGTCGGCGCAAGCCATTGCAAACCATAGCATTTGCTCCATTCTGATTGGCTTGCTTCGTCTAACCGCGGTAGCAAACCAATCATAGCGCTGTATTTGGAAATTTTTGCAGTGGTCAGATTGAAACTGACCGTTGCAAAAATTTGCCAATATGGCATGCTGATTGGTTTGCTACGGTCAGAATAAGCAAGCCAATCACAATGAGGCAAACTTCTACTGTTTGCAATGGTCGCATCGACTTCAGAGCGATGCTGGTTTGTTATTGTCGTGTCAGCCGCTCGTGTTGTAATCGAATAGTCGGTAAATTTTAATCGCCGCTCGTTGCATGGAGAAAGATATATGGCTTATACAGATTCAACAGACCCACTTCACGACCTGTGACTTCCAACTTCGTCAGAATATAGGTCTAGGTAAACTATTACTAGAAATATGACTTTAAGTTTGATTAGATTTTAATTTTATTTTAGGCAAACGGCTATTTTTTTATTTTCATGTCTCCCAGACTGGCTTTACAGGACACATACAACAGGTGATTTACCGATCGCTTAAAAATTGAAATAAAGATTGATCACAAACATTTATTAAGCATTTTCGAAGAGGATGCATTTCTATACAATTTCCTTGTTCGTTTATGAAATTTGGGTTTAAAGGGGTCTCTGTAAAGAACGGAAACCGAAACGACAGAATCCGGAAACGACCGAATCCGGAAACGACCGAAACCGAAATTCTGATTGGCTGAATTTACGTTAACGACAGGTTGATTGACATGCTGCAGACGAAAGGTCATTCCATAACATAGCGCCACTGTACTTAAAGCTTCTTCTTAGATATTCTGTTCTAGGTTTTGGAAGAGTTAAAGTGCCTATGTCATAGTTTGGGAATTAGCCTATTTAGATAGTTTAGATGATTTTAAGAACTTTTGCAATATATTTTATAATTCGAAAATTTGGTCTTCATGGACTTTCAGGGGCTCAAAGTTGGCGATTTTTTGCTTAACCGTGAGTGTAAAAGGACTAGGGCGAGATGCCTATAAACGCCGGATGTGACGTCAAACCGGGAACTGATCAAAACAAAATACATATGATTTGCTATAGTTTCTTGATAAAATCATGATAAATCGAGTATAAATTGGATGTTTCTGGAAATTTCTTCGATATTTCGATTGGAATTTAAATGGAACTATATCCTTAACCTTCGGTTATCGAACTGACAGGCAGATTGGGCGAGATACTAATTTTATGGCTGAGTGTGCAGGTCAAACACGTATGCGCTGATGCTAATCTATCTATGCAAAAGAATCTATTCTCTTTGTCAATACAGGTCAGATTGGAAATTATTGTGGGCAAAACACCTCGTCCAGGATCAATAGAAGCGGCTGAAGCGCCGGTTTGCTTTGAATTTGGGCGTCATAGCCGCGTCAGGATTTGCCGTAAATAATTTTGTGAAAAAGTAGGTAATACGAATTTTATATGATTTAAAAAGAGAAACTCTGAAGGCAAAGTGAACTTGTTTTATTATATTGACATGTATTCATGAATTACTGTAAAAGTTGATATTTGAATAAATTTGTTTATTAATAAGCTAGTCTTGCAAAATCGCCTAAATGTATTAAGATCTCTTATATTGTGTTCTAATTGTGTTCATGAAATCATACAACTACTAAGGCTACATGTTTTTAAATATGACACATCTTTATATTTCTGATTCATGAATAATAAAAATCACTTTCTTAGTTATAGTAAACTATAATATCTTGAAAATTATAATATTCCATTGAGTATTGTATTTTTTCGACATTTGACCTTGTCTGCTAGCAAAATGCCTAATGTAAACAAAGCAAGCGAAGGGGCCTATTGTATTTCATGATTCGCCCATTTCTAGGCTATGACATGTCTTTTACCATACTCTTTGTCCTAAAGACCTAACGGATTAACTGATTTCTAAATCATAAACATTTATTCTTTATAAAGTTATAGTAAATTTTTCATTAAATGTGAAAACATTTTGAAACACTTGTTCTTTGTATTTAATATTCAATTTATTTGAGGTGCCGAACTTGCCAGCTTGCAGAAACATGCAAATAAAACAAGGAATTTTATTATATTTATAAATTATAAAATGATATTATATATGGTTATGACATTATTGATTCATGAGCCATGGATCATTTTGGCAAATTACGACATGTATAATCCCTGCATGGAAATTATATGTATTGACCCATTGGCATTGCCTTGGCCTTGCTTTGTTTACATTTGGCAATGAAATGGTTTCATCCGCTATAAAAAACTGAACAAGATTTTCAAAATGACAAGACAAGTTTGTTCTATTTAAGGAAGTGATTTTTACAGTATGATTCAAGAATAAAAATCTAAATTTAAAACAATGTGGCCCAGGACCATAAATACATTTTATTCTGTTGTTTATGCATTTTGCTGGGAAAAGTAGAATCGCCACTTTATTCAAAGATTAATTTTCTCTTGCATACCTATCAGTAACTATAGAACAAGTTCAGTTTGCCTTGGGAGTTTCTCTTTTAGTTTTAAATCACATAAAAACCGTATTTAATCACCTTCTCGCCAATATTATACGACACATTTTGACGTCCAAATTCAAGCAAA